CCAGTGATGACAGCGTCAGGAGTCAAGGATTATGTTGATACACATAGTGTGCTGAGGGCCATTGGAAAGTTAATTCTGTTCATCTGTACTATATAGGAACTCATATATAATTGTTTAAGAAATACATATATGGAGGTACTAAAAATTTCTTTGCATGAACTGCTTAAATTTGGACATACAATTCACTTCTACAGATGGCCAACTTTAGTATAATTTGAGAACTGAGATGGTGCTGAAACAGTGGGGTGGTGGGGGACAAAATGATCAAATGTGCAGTATAAAAACAACCAAGTCAGGTGGTTCAGAAGAGGCCCCAGAGACAGAGAGAGAAGGCCTTCCCCGCTTTTCAGCAATATAGCAGGCCAGACCTATGCCTCGTCCTGTTGTATCTGTGAAGTCTGTGTTTTAAACAGGAGCCAAGGACCTGAAAAGAGATCATAAACTCACTCCTCATCCTCCATCAAGGTTAACAGAGGCGGGACAGGAAACTCCAACTTGCTTTTTTAACAGAGCTTCTCTTTTTCTTGCTGTCTATGTAGCCTTGGAGCCAAACTGTTACAAAAGAAACAATAATAGTAGCTCACGGTGGGAAAAAAATGTGACAATGAATATATGTATGTTCATGTATAACTGAAAAATTGTGCTCTACACTGGAATTTGACACAACATTGTAAAAATGACTGTAACTCAATAAAAAAATGTTAAAAAAAAAAAAGAAACAGTAATAAGCCTTAGAGCCTTTGACATCTAATCATGAAAGGACTGGCACTATGAACTTATTTATTGATGACAAACAATCAAAACTTAGAGCAGACTTCAATCTCAGGTCCTCCAAGGGAAACTCTGAGATGAACTATAAAAGGGCAAACTGCTGACTCATGTCAACAGTGTCCAAGTAACCTTTTGGATAAAGCTTCTCTGGTACTGGACAAAGAAGGGCCTTTGATGGGGTGAGAGAAGAGAATGTCCTCAGATAAAGTGGTTGATGGTGTTAGGGCCCTCCAGCCAGAGACGAGGAACACACCTGTAGTTGAACAAGTTGGACATATTACTCATTGCAGCTGGGGGAAGTGCACAGCCTGGGGAACTGGGTCCATCTCAGTAAGAAGGTGTTGTGGCTTGGCTGGGTAGTTTAGGGGAGGGTCAAAAGAAGCAAGGCTTTGTTCTGGACTGGATGCTATCAATTGGATACAGGGGCAATTCTGATTGAGTTTCTCAATAAATCTTATCTTTAACAAGAGCTGACTAAAGTAAGCTTAAAGTTGTAACTGTTTTTTCAAAAAGGAGCAGTTACTTTAGACGAGAAAGTGGTATGTTTGGTATTTTGTGGTTGCCCAGAGATCTTGTTTAGAGCTCCTTTAGCCTAGTCTCAGAGTGACTGCATCTGATGTCTACGTTCTGTGAAATTGTTTACGTCCAACAGGAGCAAACATGGCCTCCTAGCTTTGAGCGTCAGACGACATCCTGGGTATCAGGGGCTGCTCTTTTTTTTTTCTTTCTTTCTTTCTCAATGCAAAAGAATAGAGAAAAGGCCTTTGTTTGCCTTACAGAAAATTCAAAACTGCACATCGGTTGACTGAGCATAAGGGACAAATTAGAAGAAAAGATAACAAGGCACACAAGAGACCGCCTAGGAAAGGATGGTGCCTGGATGGTCCCCCAGTCTGGTTGTAGTCTTGTTATAAACTAAAGTGAAGCTGGGGCCATACTCAATACTTAGGGGGCACTCACTTATTGTCTGAAACATCCCCACTCCGCAAATGTAGATTCCAGAGCATTCCTGGGAGGAACAGAGAACAGTCATGATGGTAGCAGTTTGCTTTCACCTGGAAGGAGTAACAATTTACCTTTCCAATCCATGTAAATTCGCTTGCTAACTGCTATGGTTGGGCCACACAGAAGGAACTGAAACTTAAAACAGAAACTGAAAGATACTTTTCCACTAGATAGATAAAGCTTGGTTGAAAGGGGTAACAGAAACTGTTTCTTCACTAATCAAACTTCCCTTGTTAAATTTATGAGCTTCATTGGGACAGGAAATTAAGGTAGTAAAGATCTGTGTCCTCACCCAGATTTTCAGTATTTTTTAGCACTAAACTAGATGAAGCCACTCAAGAAATACTTACTCAAGTTTAATTCAAACCTTTCTTGTTTTACCCACCCTCTATTAAGAAGCATTCATAACGTGTTTCTTAAACATTCATTAATCGTCATACAATGTTGGCTTCTGTAAGATGCATTTCCCACATTTGGGCATCCTCTTCCAGTCTAGCCATCAAGTCACCTAAAAATTCATTCAATAAACATGTATTGAACACTAACTGCAATGCTCATTAGTGTTACAGGGACAGGAAATACAAGATAAAACAAATAAAGCTCCTGCCCATGCTCCAGTTTGAACATAAAAACGAGCAAATAAACATACAACAGGTATGGTAAGTACTGTGAAGGAATATAAAACTAAGGGTGGGGGAGAGAGTGTTCTGGGGCAGGGGACTGGACAAATGGGCGCAGTTGCTGTTTTATGTAGTGAGGTCCAGGAAAGCCTCTCTGGTAAGGTGATTTTTGAGCAGATTCTTGAAGGAAATGATTAGAGAAACCATGCAGAATTCATGGCAAAGAGGGGTAAAATCATACTTGGCATATTGAGAGAAACAACGCAGACATGCGTTTGATCCCTAGAAGAGTCAAGGGCCACTCTCTCACATGTAAGTCTCAGTCACAGGTTTCTGACCTTCACGTTACGATACGGAGCCACTGACCTGACAGAAACTCACAAGTTTTGAATGTCTGTCCTCACACCATGAAGCCAACACATACTTCACGGTAAATTTTACAGCTTCTCCCTCTTGAAATTTCTCTGACTAAAAAAAGAAAGATGGGTTTATCTCAGTGATTGCTATGCCCTCTGCCAAAAAGACTGAATGGAGACATGACAATACTTTTTGACACTAATTCCTGGGCCCCTGTCAATGGCCTAATGGATCCAACCTAAGTGGAATTTGGAACCAAATTCATATGGAGAAAACTGACCTGGAAAGAAATGACTAAATTTGCATAGCAATGAACGCTTAGTCTTACACATGGATATGCATCAGGACAAATGTGGAGAGAGTAGTGGGAAACTCAGGCTCAGTTATTCTTGGTTTCTTATTCCATATCCACCCTTTCTCCTCCCCCACCTGCCTAAGCCAAATAATGTCCATTCATACTCAGTTGAAATTAAAAGACACTTAGGATCGCAAGTCTCAATATATAATAGAAAGCCTTGTGAAGGAAGACCTTAATGTCATAGGAACTCTGGCACAAATCCATTTGGAAATAACTGTTT